TGTTTCACCTCATTTGAATAACTCTGTACTTTGCCTCATTTGAATAACCCTGTATAGCGCCTCATATACATTGACCAATGGGAATAGCTCTGTACAATGCCTCATTAGAATTATCCAATAGAATCCCTGCTCCTAGCTTGCGCCTTTTTCCCTATATAAGGACCCCTTTCCCTTGGCTTGGGGCGCTTAGCCACACAGAAGCTAAGTCGCCCCGGGTACCCGCGTCTCCAATAAAGCCTCTTGTTTTTGCATCCAAGTTCGTGGCCTCGCTGATTCCTGGGTGTGGGTCTCCCTCTACGAAAGTACCTCTTTGGGGGTCTTTCAATGCAAAGCCATGAATTCTATCTCTAGCACTTCAAAAAGATTCAAGGGGCATTGGTGGTGCAAGCCTTTAATCCCAGTACTCGGGAGGCAGAGGCAGGCTGATCTCTATGAGTTCGAGGCCAGTCTGGTCTCCAGATCGAGTGCCAAAGCTACACAGAGAAACCCTGTCTCAAAAAAACAAAACAAAAAACAAAACAAAACAAAACTATTTTTAAAGGGCCATCAAGCCAGGCATGGTGATATTCGAGGCCATCCTGGTCTACATAGTGAGGACCAGGCTACCCAGGGATACACAGTGAGATCCTGTCCCAGAAGGGAGTCGGAGGAGTTGGATCTAAATAGTTCGGTTGGGTAAGACATGGAATACCAAACATGACTACCAGAGTGAAAGGACAGACTCTTGAAGTTGTCCTCTGAAATAAAGTTAAACATGAAATTCATTTACATGTCCTATATAACTTGTCAAAGGTAATGTATACATTTTTTTGTTTTGTTTTTGGATTGTGACCCCTCCCATTCTCACTCAAGCCAGGTAGAATTTTCCAATTATAATAGCATTCAAAAAGTTTCAGACTTTGTATAATTACAGACTTGATTTGATGTGTATGGGTTTTGTCTATGCATAATGTTTGTACAGTGCCCTCAGAGGCCAGAAGAGAGCACCAGATCCCTTTGAACTAGAATTACAGAGGGTTTTTTTTGTTTTTGTTTTTTGTTTTGGTTTTGGTTTTGGTTTTTTGAGACAGGGCTTCTTTGTGGCTTTGGAGGCTGTCCTAGAACTGGCTCTTGTAGACCAGGCTGGTCTCGAACTCATAGAGATCAGCCTGCCTCTGCCTCCCGAGTACTGGGATTAAAGGCATGCGCCACCAATGCCCGGCTTAAGTTACAGAAGGTTTTAAGTGACTGGGAACCAAACTCAGGTCCTCTGGAAGAGCAGCTAGCGCTCTTAGCCTCTGAGCCATCTCTCAGCACCCCAATTACAGATTTTAGGTTAGGGATATTTAACCCTAACTTCAGTTGGATGGAGTAAGGAAGAGAGTCTGAAAAAATTCAGTTCAGTCAAATCTTCAGCAGCATCACACAAATAGCCCAGCTTGTTTGTTGTCATTGTTGCTTCATTTGTCTCCCTGTGATTGTCTGTCTGTCTTTCTTCCTCCCTTCCTTCCTTTTCTTTGGAAGGATCTCACGTAACTTAGGTATGTTCTTCTAAGTTCTGGCCGACGACCTCCTGAGTACATCCCTCCCCCAGTGCAAGGATTACAGGCTCGTGTCGTCACATCCTACTGTTTTTATTATATGGACTTGTCTTTAGGAACAGTCACTGTGCTATGAAAGTAAGTTCAACCTCCAAATCTTCACAAATGATAACAAAACTAGGTCTATAAACAGGTGCTGACTGCCCTCTAGTGTTCAAACTAAAGATCTCCCAATGAACTAGTTATATATTGGTGAAAACTCCAGCTCATACTTAGGCCATTAAAATCAGAAAAAAAATGTCCATCTTCCAAGGTCTTAAACAAGAGTCTTCTCAACACCAAGCAAACACTGTAACCTGAACTTCCTGATTATTGTTCCCAGGACAGGGAGTCCACAAAGTTTGGCCTCGGTTACACCAATGGCAGTTGGGCAAGACAGAAGAAAATGAACTAAATTAACATTTCAAATATACTTCCTAAGCCTGAGGATATAGCTTGTGGTAAGGTTTTACAATTTCCACATTCACATAATTAGGTATCTGTTTTTCTTAACCACTGAATCATCTTTCCAGTCTCTCAGGTCTAATTTACAATATAGCAAATGTCAATAAACAAAAGCTTCTTAGGACCCTCAATTATATTAAGAGTATATATGGAGCCCAGCATTATATTATAATCAGGAGGCAGGAGCTCCAGGAGTTCAAGGTTAACTTGGTCTACATAGTGAGTTCCAGGCTGACTGGAGCTCCACAGTGAGACTCCTTCTCAAAAAACAAACATTAGGGCTGAACATGGTGGCAGAGGCAAGAGGATTTCTGTGAGCCAGGCAGTCTCGTCTACATAATGAGTTCCAGGACAACTAGCACTGTGTAGAGAGACCCTGTCTCAAAAACAAACAAACAAACAAGAAAATAAGCTAACAAACAAGAGTATAAATGGGTGCTAAGGAGCTGAAAAGAAGGCTCAACAATTAAGAGCACTGACTGTTCTTCCAGAAGATCTGGGTTCAATTCTCAGCACCTACAGGGCAGCTCACAGCTGTCTATAACTCAAGTCCCAGAGGATCTGACGCCCTTACACAGACATGCATGCATTCAAAACAGCAATACACATGAAATTTAAAAATAAATAAATAAATATGTAAGTGGATCCTGAGAGCAAAAAGTCTAAGAGCCACTGTTCTACATCAGCATATTGAGCAGGATATAATTTATTCAAAGCTGTAACAGGTAAGGAGAAAGCATAAGCACCAATAAAAATGCAGACCATACTCACCAAATGGATCTTCCATGCCACTATTAACCAGAGTAGGGAGATGGGGAATAGTTTCTAAAAAGAGAAAAGGTACATGCAATATTGAAAATATCAAATTTACCATCTTGAATGTTTCTTTTAAATAAGTCCAACTCACTAACACTTATTTATTATAGCTTAAATGTTATTAAAAATATAACTTATTAAATGAGAACACTGCTACCTGGAGGCTGGTGAGATGACTTGACAAATGAAAGCATCTACTGCACAAGCCTGATGATCTGAGTTCCATTCCTGGAACCCATGGGAAATGCCAGAGGCAGTGGCATGCATTTATAACCTCTGCATTCCTAAGGTGAAATGGGAGACAGAGACAAAAGAACCACCTGGGCTCTCCTGGGCCAGCTGGCCTGAAAAACAGCACAGCAGAAACAAAAGAGACTCTTCTTCAACAAGGTGGAAGGAAGGCCAGGCAGTGGTTCCACACGTCTTTAACCCCAGCACTTGGGAGGCTGAGGCAGGTGGATCTCTGAGTTCAGGCCACCCTGGTCTACAGAGTGAGTTCCAGGACAGCCAGGGCTACACAGTGAAAAGATGTCTCAAAAAAACAAAAACAAAACAAACAAACAAAACTCCTAAGAGTCAGTATCAGCTCCAAAAGTGACTAGTTCACCCCAGAAGCTATGGTATACTATACTACAGTATTCCATGGTGTACCAACAGAAGGGCCTTGAGTAGAAATGAGATGCTAATGTGTGGAATCAAGATGTGTTAGGAAACTTGTCCCCAGGTTGCTAGTATTAGGAAAGAGCTAGGGCTTAATAGAGAGCACTTAGGTAACCTGAGGGAACTGTTAATTATGAGAGGGCAAACTGTTATGAAGGCCTGAGCCTGACTTTTTCCCCTCCCATATGTGCCCCTGCCACTGTAGTCCTCATCAGAGCCTTCAGCAAAAGCTGGGAAACTTACTGGTTCATAGCACTTAAGGAAATCTCTGTCTAATTATTAGTTAACCACTAAGCCAAACAAGTGCAGACTACAGTGAGTACACAGAACAAGAGAACACACACACTTTACAGTTTAGTTCAAAAGAGTCACCAAACAAAGAAGAAAAAGAACCCCACAGAAAGGGAATTTCATTTTCAGGGATAGGGCTTCCACATTATATTATTTTAAATGCCCAATACATACATCCTTAAACACACTCACACAGGGGGATTTTTAAAATTGAGAAAGAGACAACAAATAAATAGGAAAGCATAGCTTGTAATCAGGTAGAAAAAAAAGTAGTCAAGAAAACTGAATTAGGCCAGGTTCTTTAATCCCAGCAGTCACAAGACAGAGGCAGCCTGATCTAGAATCAAGTTCCATGACAGCCAGAGCTGTCTGTTTTACCAGCTATCTGGTAAAACACTGTCTTTAAAAAGAAAAAAGGGAAGGTGGGTGGCACACACCTTTCATCCCAGAGACAGGACAGGAGACAGAGGCAGGCAGTTCTCTGTGAGTTTGAGGCCAGCCTGGTTGCAGAGCTAGTTTAGGACAGTCAAAGCTACACAACGAAACCCTGCCTCAAAAATAAATAAATATAAGGAAAGAAAATTAAAGCTGAATCAAGAAATCCTAGCAGTAAAACTTAAAAAGATTTAAAATAAGCTAAAAAAATATATACTTCTAAATCTAAACAATCAAAGAAGGGAACTCAATGGAAAACACATTTCACAGGATTTGGTCTATAAATCACAAAAAAGAACTAAAAGAAATCATGATCTTATTCTGTAGACTAGATTGGCCTAGACTTTGTGCCTCAATGTGGCCTCAAACTCACAGCAATCCTCTTGGATTCAGCCTCCTAGGTGCTGAGATTACAGGTGTGCACCACCACTGTTAGTATTCAGCATCTGTACTGGCCTGTCCTTGGGGTTCTGACAGGCTACACCCTCAGCTGCAGCCACTAAGAGCACCTCCTGTGGACATTCACTACTCTCTCTCTCTCTCCACACACACACACACACACACACACACACACACACACACACACACACACACAGCATGCATGTGGAGGTCAGCATGCAAAAGCTGGTTCTCTCCTTGTATTATCTGGGTTCCAGGGATTAAACTCAGGTTGAATCTAGCTTGATGCCTTTGCTTCCCGAGCCATCTTAACCCCCAATCCCTACCTATTTTTAAAATATATCTCTATGAATTTAGCATCATTACACTGCTAAAATTTTGTAATCCCTTAGGTTTTTGGAGAGTGGGCTATATATACACTATTACATCACTATGCTCATAAACATGCAGCCTCAGCCAGGTGGTGGTGGTGCCTGTGTTTAATCCCAGCACTTGTGAGGCAGAGCAGGTGGATCTCTCTGAGTTCGAGGTCAGCTGGTCTACAAAACAAAGTGAGTTCCAGGACAGCCAAGGCTACACAGAGAAACTGTCTTGAAAAACAGAACAAAAACACCATAACAACAACAAAATAAAGCCTCTACCATACAACAGCAAAACAAAAATATCTGCTGGATAAAAGATCCATTTTGTTCTGATACTCTCCAAAGCTATACCTGCCCACTTTTATTATCCATTCAGTCACTGAGCAATGAGTGAACAGCATTCCAATGAAACACCCAGAGCTGGGACTGGAAAGCAGACCTGGTGATTAAGAGCATTGGGTACTCGATGGGCGGTGGTGGCACATGACTTTAATCCCAGCACTCAGGAGGCAGAGGCAGGCTGATCTCTGTGAATTCGAGGTCAGCCTGGTCTAATGTGTGAGTTCCAGGACAGACTCCAAAACAATACAGAAAAATCTTGTCTTAAAAAAAAAAAAAAAAAAAGCATTGGCTACTCTTAACTCAAACCTGAGGACTCAGGTTTGATTCCCAGCACCTTCATCAGGTGGCTCACAACTGTCTATAATTCCAGGTCCAGAGGATCCAATACCCTTTTCCACACACTTGCATGCATATGGTACATATGTGTACACTCAAATATGCACACAAAAAATTGAAAAAATAATAAATCTTGGAAAAAAAATACCAAGAACTGTGTGCTAAGCAATGCACATGAAGATTAAGATCTTATCCTGTGCTGGAGATATAGACCAGTGGTAGTCATAACTGTCATTATGGCAAATGGCTGTAACAAGGGTGCTGAAGAGATGGTTCAGCAGTTAAGAGCACTGGCGGCTCTTCCAGAAGACCTAGGTTCAATTCCCACATGGAATGTGGTACAGGCCTATATATCCATCTCAGTACTTCTGAGACTGAAACAGGAGGATCATCTCAGGTTCATAGTGAGTTTCAGACCAGTGTGAGCTATCATTTATACTAAGACTCTGTCTCAAATAAAATAAGTTAATTTAAAAAATAAAAGAGGTTACGTGAGCTGGCTGTACAATGATTGAGACTGCTATTTAGTGTGAGTTGCTGTCTGTCTCTTTTCCTCCCCCATTCGGTATCAATCTGTAAAGTCTATAAACCCCAAGAGGGGAAAACACTTTTACTACTTTGTCCTCAGGGCCTAGAGTTTAACTTTCATTCATGGCTGAATGAGTAAAAAGATGAATTTGGAAATAAAGCACACCAACATTTGTTTTATGGGTTTGTTTTTTTTTTTCCTTCTGGTTTTTCGAGACACTGTTTTCTGTGGCTTTGGAGGCTGTCCTGGAACTAGCTCTTGTAAACCAGGCTGGTCTTGAACTCACAGAGATCCGCCTGCCTCTGCCTCCCAAGTGCTGGGACTAAAGACGTGCACCACCACCGCTTGGCCACACACCAACATTTAAAATAAGAGAAAAAAGTTCTTCCTCACTACAGTACCAAAACAAAAGAGATTTAAAACAGGCATTTGTTAGTTCAAAAGGCTAAACAAGTCTATGATCCAGCACTGAAAAGGTTGAAGCAACAGTGAGACTGAGGCTAGCCTGGGCTACATAGCAAGATCCTATTTTAAAAAGAAAAAAAAATTAGACAAAGAACCTAGACTAATTACACTGACTCAATTCCACTGGAATGTTATGCATTTTCTTAACAATTTAAGTGCAAGAGTTGAAGCAGGTTGCTATTTCTGATATCACATTCATGGCATGTACTGACAGAAAACCAAGACTAAACTGCAGGTTTATTCTGATCAAAAGTTTTTACAGAGCAAAGAAATTAAGAAAGCATTTTCCTAAGTCTTAATGCTCTATAAAAAAAAAAAAAAGTACACGAATTTGAATTCTGTCTTTAATGTTAGGTTTCAGGAGCCAGAGTGGCCTTACCCATCTTTGCTTAAAGACATACTTTTTTAAAAATTATTTATTTTTATTTTATGTGCATTGGTGTTTTGCCTGCATGTGTGAGGCTGTCAGATCTTGGAATTACAGACAGTTGTGAGTGGCCATGTGGCTGCTGGGAATTGAGAACCTGGTCCTCTGAAAGAGCAGTCAGTGCTCTTAACCACGGAGCTATCTCTTCAGCCCCCATAGACATACATACTTCTTAATAAACCTTTAACCGTCTTCTTTCTTTTGTTAAACATGGTCTTACTGGATAGCTCTAGCTGACCCGAAACTTATTATGAAGGCTAACTTCAAAGGTAATCACCAGGGTTTCTCTGTGAAACAGTCCTCGCTATCCTGGAACTCACTCTGAAGAAAAGGCTGGCCTCAAACTCAGAGATCCGCCTGCTTCTGCCTCCCAAGTGCTGTGGTTAAATAAAAGATTAAAATCACAATTTAGTAATTCATCACCCTTTTGTTCCCAAAGCCCCATAAAATTGCTATTCTGCCTAGATACAGGATAATCAAACTGGACTGAAAGCAGAAATCTTCCAAATGGCTTATGGAAAAGACTTCATGGTTCTATGAATCTTAGTTCCATATAAATCAGCTTGTTTGGGCTGTAAAATATTTTCATAATTTTTTGTAATATTCAGATCTCAGAAAATTAAAGCAGTTTGTGAAAATATAATTAGTAGCTGCATTAAATTTAAGGTAACAGAAAGCTCTAGGCTTGCTGTTTATATTTAGCTCAGCTTTCCTACCTGAGCTAACTGCATGGCTTTGGGCTAGTCACTTAACATTTTAAGCAAGGTTACATCAACTGCAAAGAAAGAACCAATGCCTCACAGAATTGTGGTGAGGGTATAATAGTTATTCAATGTATATTAATGAGATTTATACAATGTATACAACTCTTCAAAAAAATAACATGGGCAGCACTATCATGTTTGAGTAAATAAGCCATGTGGTGATGCAACCATAATAATCTTAGCACTTGGAAAGACCTAAAGGCAGGATAGGGTAGAGTTCAAGGCCAGACTAGACTCCATAGCTACCCAGTCTCAAATAAATAAACTTCTATTCCCAATAACTGAAGAATGGCTGGGACTAGTGGTATAAGCATCATGGCACAGCAGGCCATGGCACAGATGGCCAAGACCTTGGATTGCAGTCCTAACACAACAACAACAAATGTGCTATGCAAACCTGCCATTTGAGATCCATTCCAGGAACAAAGCAAAGTAGGAGAAAGCCAACTCCATAGAGTCAGATTCTAATGTCACACCTGCCCGACTCCACCCTCCCCACCCTTAGGAAAACTTTTTTTTTTTTTTTTTTTGAAATAAGGTCTCAATTATGCAGTCCTGGCTGGTCTTGAACCCATGATCCTCCCTCCTTAGCCACCTAGTATTGGGGGTTTCAGGGATGTCCCACAACTTGCTAGTAAAGACACAACCAACAGCCAGTATTAAGGTCCTTCCATCTCTATACAGTATTAACACAATCCAAGAGCCTTCAAGTCATTTCCATTATAAAATGCCAAACAGAATAATGAACACTTTTTTGGCTACGTGTCTAGGGTGGGAATTTAGCCTCAAAACACCTTTCCTGATTCATGTAAAGGAGTCCCTGTTGTCTTCCCTCAGGAATTCTAAATACTAGTCAGTTTTCAAAGGCCTTCATAAAACTTTACCCTTATGCTAAGTCTTGCGATGGGGTCTTTGACGGGACATGCAGTTACCAAGATCTAAAACCAAATTGAATCAAATCCAAGAATTCAGCGGTGACCCAAAATAATACATTTTATCACCCATCACATACTGAGTTTCTAGGTTTCTCTACAGAAAAAAAAAAAAAAAGTTCTTCAATGAGCGGACTTTTTCTTTAGAGTTTTTGCTTAAAAAAGAAAAAGGATGCAGTCTGGGGAAATCGAGGAGCTGCGTGGGCGAATGAAGTGTCAAAGACTACTTGCAGGCAATGAGTGATGCCCTAGAAATCACACTCTTTCAGGTTTCTAAAGCAATGATTCACTTGAGTTCTCTGCCCACTCTCTCTCACACACCCCCCCCCCCCCCCCGCCACACACATCGAAGTCAATTCCACTCTTTCTCAGTTTCCGGGGTTGGGGCTTCAAGCCTCACTTCTTTTTCTTGGATACCATCCTCTGGCGGAGAAAAGCGCCTTGAGTTGTGATCCCTAGCTGCGGGAGGCTGACGTTTAGAAACTGGACAATAACCTCGAGATTTCCACCGAAACTATGCCAGGCTCCGAAGCCTCGGTTCTGCTCAGTCGGGATGCAGAGGTCTGAGGGAGGTCACTTTTGAAAGATGGACTTTGACCCGATCCAGTTACTGTAACCGGATCCCCAGGGAGCGGCCCCCGGCAGGACGTGCGGGCTCCCCCGGAGACCGAGACTCCACGCAGCGCCACAAAGGCGGAGAAGCGGCTCAGACAAAAGGGCCCCGCGGAGCCTGGGGGGGCGGAGAGCGCGAGTGTGCGCGGGCCCGGCCCCAGGCGGGGACACCGCAGCTCACCTAGGTCGCCGCTGCCTCCTCAGGATCCACAGCACTTTCTCCCGGAAATCCTACCTGGTCTCTGGCTGCCTGGTTCTAGCCAGAGCCTTCGGCCCCAGGGGAGGGGGGCGGGGGCAGCAGGCTGGACAGTGAGGATAGGAAGTGCCTCCGCGGAGGCTCACGGGACTTGTAGTCGCCAGCAGTGGCCAGCTGTGTGGCGACCCAGACAAAATGGCGGGAACTGCCGGCCCTCCGCTGCTTGGTGCCGAGCCCCCCCGGCTCTGCCGGTCTGGGCATGCGCACCAGCGGCCGGCGCACGGCACATAAATGGATTTGGGCCGCTTGCCTAGTTCCGAGCGAGGCGAAGGTCCCCGGGCTTGGGAGGACACTCCCCGCAATGCCCAAGAAAGGAGCTGATGTATGCGTGGTGTTCTACAGCCTGTGTCTCAAACTACCCAGAGCCGATTCGAAGCGCAAAAAAAACTAATAAACAAGTTACCCTCAAATATTGTGCGAAAGTAAGGAACCCGGCCCATTAAGCGCATTCAACATCCACACTCCCTGCTGTTTGTGTATTTTCCCCACTATCAACTAGCAGAAGCCACCACCTGTCTCATTCCAGGACCCAGGGCTATCACCCGCCAGACACCCTCCTCGCTGCTTGCTGGAGGATCTTTCTAAAGCCAAACACACGGGTCACACCCATATTAACCTATATGTAACTTGTTCTTTCTTTTTGTTCTTTGAGACTGGGTTTCTCTGTGTAGACTATGCTGGCCTCGAGCCCACAGAGATCCACTTGCCTCTGCTTCCCAAATGCTGAGCTTAAAGGCGTGCACACCTAGCCTAAATGTAAATATTTTTAAATTATGATACATGCAGAAAGAAACACAAGAGAAAATGTATGCCTTTCAAATACACAATCAATAACATTAAAAAATAGTAATAAATTACAACCCAGTTATGGTGGCACACACCTGTATTCCTAAGTGTGATGGTGACAGATGCTGTGAGTCCGAGAATAGTTTAGTCTACCAGTTCCAGGGCAATCAGAGCTACATAATGAAATCCTGTCTCAAAAAAAAAAAAAAAAAAAAAAAAAAAAAAAAACAGGCCAGCCAGATGCTGTCTGGAAATAACAGTAATAATAATAATAATAATAAATGATAATAAGGCCAGCAGTTGGGAGGCAGAAGCAGGCAGATAGTGAGTTAGAGGCCAGTCTAGTCTACAAAGTCAGTTCCAGGACACACACACACACACACACACACACACAAAGGTGTGGGGCGGGGGGAGAGAAGAAAGAAAGAAAGCTGGCTAGAAAGAAGCTAAGTCCAGGCATTCATAAGGAATAATAAGTTCCCATATGTTTGTTTGGGAGCTGGGTGGCAGCCGCCCCCAGGGGAGAAAAAAAAACCAAATTAAGCTTTTGTGTCCATGTAATTTGTTTTTTGTTTTTCGAGACAGGATTTCTCTATGACTTTGAGGCTGTCCTGGAACTAGCTCTTGTAGATCAGGCTGGTCTCGAACTCACAGAGATCCACCTGCCTCTGCCTCCAAGGTGCTGGGACTAAAGGCATGCACCACCAACACCTGGCAGACACTTTTGGTTTGTTTTCGAAGTAGCCTTTGTCTGTGTAGCCCTGGCTGTCCTAGAACTCACTCTGTAGACCAGTTTGGCCTCGAACTCAGAGACTGACTGCATCTGCCTCCCAAGTGCTGAGATTAAAGGTGTGTACCACCACCGACCAGCAATGCTCTATTATTTTTTTTTTTTTCCAAAAGGCTGAAGAAATGGCTCAGGGGTTAAGAGGTTCCAGGGAACCTGAGTTCAATTCCCAGCAACCACATGATGGCTCACAACCATCTGTAATGAGATCTAGGGCCCTCTTCTGGCCTACAAGGATACATGCAGACAGAACACTGTATACATAATAAATAAATCTTTAAAAAAAAAAAAAAAAAAAGGCTTGAATACACTTGTCCCAAGGGAGATGAACAGTTTGAGAATAACAAATGAAAGGTGTTAAATTGATGTAAGAGAGGAAACCTACTAGGATAGACTAATAAGACGAGGGTTGGGACTGGAAAGATGTCTCATTGGTTAAGAGCACGTGTTGTTTTTGCAGAGGACCTAGGTTTGGGTCTTAGGACCCACTAGGCGGTTGACAGTCTTCTGTAATTCCTGTTACAGGGGAATCGTATGCCCTCTTCTGGCCTCCATGGGTACTACCTATTACATATTTTTATATTATTGAACAGTTTGGTGTCCTTCCAGAGTCCTGGGTTTAAAAAAAGCCTTCCTACCACCCATGCCCACTGCCCCTTGAGCTGGCCCAAAGAGAAGGGGAGAAGGGAAAACAGGGAGCAGCTTGGACAGCTGAGATGTGTCCATGGTGAATCACCAGAGGGAATATGTAGTTATGGAATTCCCTCCTCTTCCACAATATATCTTTTTAAAAATGTTTTTCCATCAAGGTCATCTTCTGTTTTTCTTTTTTTTCTACTTCTTTTTTTCTTCTTTCCTCTTTTTTACTCTCCTCCTCCTTTTTAGTAAGGGGAATACCATGTCTCTCTTCTGGAAGAGCAGCCAGTGCTCTTAACCTCTGAGCCACCTCACCAGCCCCAAGTATTCCTTCCCGCTTATATTGATGTCTCTAAAACATGAGGTTATGGACGTTAGCGTGCACCTCAGTGCTGTCTCCTGAAGGTAGAGGTGTGAACAGAAATCATAAAAACTCCATAAATGCAGAAGTAAGCTGGAGACATCAGATGTCTTGTCTTGTCCTTCAGGCAACATTTATGTAGTATAAAAATTCATGGCTTCTCATACTTAAAATTGTTTTTCAGAAAACAATTTCCTTTATTAAGATTATGAAGGAAAGAACTATATGTGGTGGCGCACACCTTTAATTCCAGCACTCGGGAGGCAGAGGAGGTGGATCTATGAGTTGAGGGCCAGCCAGGTTTATAGAGTAAATTCCAGGACAGCCAGGACTACACAGAGAAATCCTGTCTTGAAAAATCAAATAATAATAATAAATTATAGGCCAGGCGATTCTGGCACATGCCTTTAGTCCCAGCACTCAACAGGCAGAGGCAGGCAGATCTCTGTGAGTTCAAGACCAGCCTGGTCTACAAGAGCTAGTTCCAGGACAGCCTCCAAAGCTACAGAGAAACACTGCCTCAAAAAAAAAAAAAAAGACAAGAAAGAAAGAAGAATTATAGAGGAAGAGAGACAGAATAGAGCTAATAGCTTACATACAACTAAAATATCTTTTTGTTTGTTTGTTTTTGTTTTTGTTTTCTCTGTGTAGCTTTGGAGCCTATCCTGGCACCTCATTCTGTAGACCAGGCTGGCCTCGAACTCACAGAGATCCTTCTGCCTCTGCCTCCCGTGTGCTGGGATTAAAGGCCTGCGCCACCAACGCCCGGTTTACTTCAATATCTTTTATAGATGCATTTTAATTTTGCATATTCACATGTGCTTTTATGTGGTGTTCGTGTGTGTGTGTGTGTGTGTGTGTGTGTTTAAACACGTGTAAATGAAGCCGGGTGTTGGTGCCGCACGCCTTTAATCCCAACACTCAGGAGGCAGAGGCAGACGGATCTCTGTGAGTTCAAGATTAGCCTGATCTACAAGAGCGAGTGCCAGGAGAGCCTCCAAAGCCACAGAGAAACCTTGTCTCGGAAAAACAGGGTGGAAAAAAAGGACAGAGAACCGCGGGTAGCCCAGGCTGGCCTGGAACTCAGTACTTGGTCAAGGATTACCTTGAACTCCTTATCCACTTGCCTTACTCTCCTGTATGCTGAGATCATAGATGTGTCATTACAGTTTAGAGATTTAATGTTGCTGCCACCTGCAGGCCACATGGCTCACTAACAGGTTCACAAATTCTCCCCACACCCCTACCAAGGGAGGATTTCTGAGTTCTCTGTGGAACTCTGGATTAACTGGAGAAAGTTTCTTAGCAATTCCCCCCATTCCCTATGACCCCCCACAGTCTGCTGCCCACAAGCCACAATTGTAAAAATCCTAAAAGTGGGGTCTGTGACATCAGATTGGGTTTGGAACTTGTCTCCCGCCTCCCCTCCCGCCCCGTGAGTAATACGTCAGTTTTCTCATTCATAAAATAGGTATAACAGTAACTCTTTCACTGAGATGTGCAGAGGACAGAACCGGGGCCTGCAGAGCACAGCGCCTGGCACACGGAGATCCTGGAACAGATGTTAACAGTTGTCGGGCAGATCGGCAGCAGCTATCCCATTCTAAGCAGAGGATGGTGCCTAAACTGCACAGCAGTTCAGTGCACAGACCTTTAGCATCTGTTTCTACCTTGTGACCTCGGGCAGGTGTCTCAACCTGGCTGAACCTTGCTTGACCTCACAGGTGGCTTAGGAGATTAATGAGGTCATTTATGTGAAGTACCGAGACAGAACCTGGCATGGAGTCCACAGATAATAAATGGAGTGATGATTAAAAGAAATAGTTACCAAGGATAGCTAAAGGTTGAACAGCCCAGACTGCGAATGGGCACGTTCCAGGCAGGCACTAGCCTTCGGGCATTTTTCAAATTGTTGGCCAGCATTAAAAATAGAAATACATGTACACAGACACGGACACAGACAAAACACCCATACATATGAAACAATAATGATTTTTTAAATAAAAATTCCTCTGGG